ATGCTACAATTTGTGTAAGCGCTAGGATCTTAGTAGACCAGTGTCGGAAATGTTTTGTTGTTGTTATTTTCATGGTCAAAAGTCAAAAGTCAAAAAATGGTTAAAATATGAACGTCGACTAAAAAATACAATGTCGCCACAATTTTTTACGGCAACAGATATTCTCTAAAAACTACTTCATGTCGGCTGTTGTATCGACAATGATAATAGCAATCATTCATCGCTATCGACAAAAAATGACAAGCCTAATATCGTTATTGGCGCCTCGGCTTCATTTTGCGACGACAGCCGTAATAGGGCCGATTACATTGCAGTGGTCAGCTTAAACATACATAGGTACCTCACAATGGAGATTATGTCAGTCATTTTCTAGGGATTCTGGTCCATTTTTTTTTTGGAAAACCCCCATTCCATTATGGGATTATGACCGAAAAAACAGTCATATTTCACATAATTGTAATGGGGATTATTATTATCATCTGATTCAACATTTAAGTCCTACACAACTGTAGTATGCACCCCATAACAATGGTATACGGTATGCGATGTCCGCTTCAGCCTAGAAATACTATTGCAAAATGTTAAGGAATCGAAATATATCTCCCATATGTATCTTTGTCTGATTTAGCGTCTATAGCTCTCTTATATATGTTTCATCCGATTTCATATTTAAGGCCCCCACAGCCGTAATATACACTCCATGACAATGTACAAGGTATCAGATACAGTTCCAAAATAATTCTACCAATATTTCTCCTGATCGATTTCGACTAAGTTATAGCTCCCATATATATCTCCCTTGATTCCACGTTTGTTGTGTGATATCAGTCAAAATAAATGAGTTTAAACAATTTAACAATAATTGGAAGAAACTCGCATAATGTTAAAAGAAATCGTTGAATGTCGCTAAAATTTTAAAATATCCGAATATCAGGTGTAATAGTTAAATGTGAGGATCTCTGCAATCAACTTTTAGCCAGCGAGGATGGTGAACATTACGGATTCCAAATTTAGTTAAAATCCTCAAAATACAGAATTTTGGGGGCTATACGAAGAAGCTCTTCTGTATCTGAACTCCTATTTCCGAATTTGAATAATTCTGCTAAAAAATGTGGGGGTCATTTGAACACAAACTGTAAACTAAACTTTGTACATAAGTTGCTAAGACTGTCAAAAGACCTTAAATCTGGCGGACCTATATGACCTATTTTCAATTCCAAAAATACTACGGAGGGCAATATATAATATATACCCTCCAATATTTCATGGAGGGTATATTAACTTTGTCATTCCTTTTGTAACTTCTCGAAATATTTATAATAGACCCTATAAAGTATATATATTCTGGATCAGCATAAAAATCGATGTCGATTTAGCGATGTCCGTGTGTCTGTTGTAATCTTTCGAACGAATGCTAAAATTTTGCATACATGCATAGTTTACCAGGTCCACGTTTTCTTTTGATGATTTTAGCGATATTATTTACCGGAATTACTTAAAGTTCGTAATGGGGACTACAGCCTATGACAAAACATTTTGTATGCTTGTCCAAGTCTTCGTAACGGTACCTCCCGATATTCGGTATTTTAATGATTTCAGCAACATTATTCACCGGAATCGTTTCATATTTCGTACTGGAAGATCCTAATGAGCACTACAACCTATGGCTAAAAATTTTGTATGCAGGTACCTCCCGATATTCGATATTTTTATGATTTTAGCGACATTATTTACGGGAATTATTTCGAATTTCGTATTTAAAGTTCGTAATGGGTACTACAGACTATGACAAAAAAATCGTATGTAGGTTCACATTTTCTTATATCCCCCATATGACGGTACATGCCGTTATACGGTATTTTGATGATTTTAGTGACATTATTCACCGGATTTGTTTAAAATTTGGTATTTGAAGTTCGTAATGGGTACTACAGTCTATGACAAAATTTCGTAAGCAGGTCCACACCTTCAAGTTTTTTTTTTGAAAATTTTCAAGTTCCTTCCAAATAGAGGAGGGTATTAAAAGTTCGGTCCTGCCGAACTTAGCTGCTTTTTTACTTGTTCTCTTTGACGTCTTGCTTTTAAAATGGTGCTTTGTGGAAGATTTTTCATTGCTAATATATATGACTTCTTTTAGGGTTCAGATTAGAATTTTATTACAAATAAATATGTGAAATATTTTGACTTGCAACGATTCCGTTTAATCGTAGTTTTTAATTATATTTTCAAACAAGTGAGCAAAGGCTATAGTCGTGCGGGGCCGACAATGTGATACCCTACAACACTACAAATGGTTCGATGTTCCCTTATGTTCAAATCCATTTTGGAAGATTTCGTTTTTGAAATAATGTGAAAAATAATGCCCCTGTCCTTAACTCTCTTCTGATGCGAAATTCCGTGTCGATCAGTTTTCAATTGTGGTCTAAAAAGCGACTACAAAATTAGAACATTTTTTATTTATTAGTCCATTTGAACCCCTAAATGTACATCTTAACAACAATAGGCTTTAATTCTGACCCTAACCCTACTGCCATACAAAATGTCGTGAGGATCGGACTGTAATTGCGATATGCATATAATACCCTTAAAACGTAGTGTTGCGAAGTGTAAAATTTTAAAAAAATTACAATTCAAAATTGGAAGTCAAATTGAAAAATCGCATGCGATAAAAAAATATGACAAAAATTTAAAAAATAGAACAAAATATGTTAATTTTTTTATTGCTACATTTGTCCGCGAATTTCCAAAATTTTATCCGTGTGAATTGTGAAAATCGGCCCGACTTCTAAGCAGAATAAATAAGATCTATTCTTTTGCATATATATTGTACCTGTTTTGCTATATATCCGATTTCTTGGCTATTTGCATCACTTTAGTGGTCAGAAGTGACCTTTTAATGTATTTGTGATATGGCTGGGTTTAAAAATATTCGCAGTGGACATTTTCTTAGTTCCTTACATAAAAGTTAGGGTCTATTTTACCCGCTACACATTATCAGATGGCCGCTAAATATTGTCCGAAGGTAAGCTTCTGCCCAGTCCTAATCTCTAACTCCATGTAATTTTCCAACTGCAAACTCATGCAATTTTTCTGTTTTTGGTCCATTTCAACTCCTAAATAAATATTGTGCAATCATCTCCAAAAACAATGGGGTACTATTCTGACCATAGCACCACCTCAATTTTCAATTTCGCGAGGATCGGGCCATAATTGCAAACTGTAGAGTGATTACAAAAATTAACATGGACATACGGACAGATGGACAGACGGATATACATAGCTAGATCGACTCAGTTTGGCGAGATAGGAAAATCCATATATACTTTCCTATGTGGGAAACCAATATTTCGAGGTGTTACATAATTTTTGGACCAATCAAACGACCAAAAACACCCTTTTGGTGACTCGCTTGAGGGTTAAAATTGATCAACAAAATAATCCTGGAATTATTATCTTTAATGTTGCTGAAGACACGGTATACCTGAATTGAATGTATGCCATGGAATCGTAATCATAAAGTATCAAACAAAAAAAAAATGTGGAAGAGTGGATAACTTGTTCCCTCTTTTAAGATAATTTGCGATGTAAACTTTCGAAAAACGTCTCCTACTTTCATAATTTGCTGTATTTTCTCGATTATTATTGTAGAAAAAATTAAATTTTGTCCACGGTGTAACGCAAAATGGTTCCACGCTATTTTTTACTATGGCCTTAAAGACTCTCAATAAATCGAAGACCGGTTTAAAATACTTTCGATTATAGCATAGACTAATAAAGGTATAGACTAAAAAGTTTTAAAATTTACCCCTTCCGGAAGTTGTCACTATGGTTGCTCTTGGGACAGTAAAGTCACTCGACTTCGAAAACAATTTATTCATTTTTCTGCTATTTTAGTTCTATATTTTTATATTTCACGACATAGTTGGGTAGTGTCAACGTAAACAAAGTCATTGTTTCGTTTTTAATTGAAAAATAATAATAAATCATAAAAATATTAAATATTTTGTATTTGGTGAGAATTGAGTGAATAGACAAATGCTATCTCACAGCATGAACGACATCTATTGAAGCACTTTTTTGGGAGATAACAGATGAGACAATTTTTTAGTCTATACGATAGACAAATGAAGATATAGACAACGAAAAGTTAGTTTTGTTTTTTTTTTCCAGGTGGCTCTCATCATGTTTTGCATAGCCAACATGCTGATTTACGCGTTCAATCCACTCGACTTCGAAAACACATTTTATCGTTTTTCAAGAATTTCACTGGAATTTTCCCATATTTTTCGATGCCATCACGTACTTTTAACATTTCTTTTATTATGAAATAATTTTCAACTGACAAATATCCTACAGTTTTTGTTATTTTTAACATTTTTGAATTGAGTAACTTCAAAATTCTCACTCAAACCCCTGAAACGATATAGTCGACATCTGCTGATCCTATAGACTCTATACCTTTATTTGTCTATGATTGAAGTACTTCAAACTGTTCCGAGAGCGCGAGAGAGAGAGAGTGAGTAGATCTTATGAAATGTTAATGCAGTTAATGAGTTGATGAATTGATCGCTCTCACCAACACTATTACATTGGGCATCTATGGTCTATACCTTTATTTGTCTATGATTGAAGTACTTCAAACTGTTCCGAGAGCGCGAGAGAGAGAGAGAGAGTGAGTAGATCTTATGAAATGTTAATGCAGTTAATGAATTGACGGCTGATGATGATAACACCTAAATGTAAGGGAATTTATTTGACATTACATAAGTATTTGAATGTGTGTAGGTGAAAATATGGATTTTAATTTTTAAAAATAATGTTTTCTTTTTTACAAACTAATATAAAATATGAGAGAGAGAATGAGCAATATTTTACACATACAATATAATATTATACAAACAAATGGAAGAAAAATAATGGAATCTAATATATTTACTTTTTGTGATTTAAATAAAGATAAAAAAGAGAGACAGAGAGAGAGAGAGGAGAGATAGATATACCTTCTGATAGACAGAATACAATGATGGCAAGACATGATAACTCCATGTCTGTTGTGCACCCTGAGTTTGAGAAGTGCTTTTGGTTGTGGTGCTCGCTGAGGTTGTGATGAGAGAAGAGGTGCCATGTTGTTGTTGCTGTTGTTGTGAATTGGGATTTGTATCACCCACATATGATTTCAAATTCTGACTAGTTTTTGTCTTTTGTTCATTATAGAATTTATGATTGTTGTTGTTGTTGTAGTTGTTGTTATTGTTATTGGATGATGTCTTTAAAGCTGTTTGCGATGATATTTGTAGTGATTTTCTATTCCTATGATATCCTAAGAGATTGTTAGACGACAACAGCGAAGTAGATGCTGGCGCAGCATTGCTAAATGATTTCTGCTTGGACTATATTCAATGGATAAGAAAAACAAAAAAAAAAGGGGTGGGGGAAACGTAATGATGATGGTGGAGGAGGGATTAGAAATGTCGTACGGCACGCGAATTTTACACGTTACACAAACGAATTCAGGCACAGACACGCACAAACCGGTGATGATTTTTTTTTTTTTTTGATTTTTGTTTTAGAAAATTATTTTTTTTTTAGGGGAAATAAAATAAACAGACATGTAAAACACATCAAATGTTTTTTTGTTTACAAAGGACAAGGAAATATTTATATAGTATTAAAAAAAAATTAAGAAAGAGAGAAATGTCATTGTTTTTGTTAATAAATAAATACAGATATAAAGTAGAATCCAGATATTTTGTTTGAATTGTGGGAAATTAAGGCACCTTGAGTGACTGACTCTTAGAGTACTTTTACACTTACAAAGGCGAGCGGATTTCAACTGTCATATCCATTGCGTATACGTCTCTAATCTAGTGGGATTCATTTGAGGCATGGTAGAAGAATACAGGCAGATGCATCAACGTCTAGGAACATTGATATGCCAAAAAAAAATTAAAGGTTTCTTCAAAAATAAGTAGACGTACACATGTTTTCCTATACGAGCCCAATTGGAGGTTGTTTTTGATATGCATTTTTTTTAAATTTCTACAAAGTTGAAAAAAAATTCATTCAAAAATTTGAATTCCAAAATTGGTTTGACAGTTTATTGCTCCAACAGCTGCGTCGATACGACTACTACAGGGTGAGATGAAAAAACTGCAACCAACTTCAGACTTCTGTCATTTCTAAACCTCTCGTCCGACAGCTGTTAAAATTAATCCAGTGACAGCACATTATATTGTTTACAAGCCTACAAAAGCATTTTGGTGAGAATTGTCCAGAAAAAAAGTTATTCGTGATGGAATTCAAGCGTGATAGTGAGATTTCTTTATATTTGGCTGGAAAACCACAAGTAGCTATCGTTAGAGCACTCCAGCATTTAAATGTGAATAAATCTTTTGAGTCTCGTACCATCGCTCGTTACCGTGATACTGGTAGCGTAGCACGACGTCAAGGAAATGGACGCAAGAGAACAGCAACATAAACAGAAATGGTTGGAAAAGTAATGAAGTGACTTGATCGAAACCCGCGTCGCAGTGGCCGAAAAATGGCTCGTGAGCTGAACATATCGCAATATTAAATTCGGCTAATATTGAAAAATGAGCTCGGGGTAAAGCCACTGAAATTCCGAAAAGTGGAACAGCAACATAAACAGAAATGGTTGGAAAAGTAATGAAGTGACTTGATCGAAACCCGCGTCGCAGTGGCCGAAAAATGGCTCGTGAGCTGAACATATCGCAATATTAAATTCGGCTAATATTGAAAAATGAGCTCGGGGTAAAGCCACTGAAATTCCGAAAAGTGGAACAGCAACATTAGCAGAAATTGTTCGAAAAGTAAAGAAGCGACTTGATCGAAACCCGCGTTGCAGTGGCCGGAAAATGGCACATGAGCTGAACATATCGCAATATTCCATTCGGCAAATTTTGAAAAATGAGCTCGGTGTAAATCTATTGTAATTCCGAAAAGTGTAAGTGGACGGAAGAAAACTGCAACATCAGCAGAATTGTTTCGAAAAGTAAAGAAGCGACTTGATCGAAACCCGCATTGCAGTGGCCGAAAAATGGCTCGTGAGCTGAACATATCGCAATATTCCATTCGGCAAATATTGAACAATGAGCTCGGGGTAAAGGCATTGAAATTCCGAAAAGTGGAAGTGGACGGAAGAAAACTGCAACATCAGCAGAATTGTTTCGAAAAGTAAAGAAGCGACCTGCTTTGCAGTGGCCGAGAAATGGCTCGTAGGCTGAACATATCGCAATATTTCATTCGGCAAATATTGAAAAATGACAGCAGACATTGAAATTCCAAAAATTGCAAGAACTTACACCGCAACTGAAAGAAAATAGACTCAAAAGAGCTTAAGAGTTTCTTCGCTTGGCCGAAAGTGGTGAACTGCCTAATTTGGTTTTCTCCAATGAGAAAACATTCCTTATTCTGCAGTTTGTAAACAAACCAAATGGTCTTGGCAAAGAGGTCAGCCGAAAATGTGCACCTTCGGTTGGCCACCAGGACTCAAGCGCCGGCCATGGTGATGGTGTGGGCCGCCATAACATCCGATGGTTACTCTCCGCTCGTATTAAACGACCGTGACATCAGAATAAATGCCGAATATTATCGCGAAAATATTCTGGAGGGTGTATTAGAGCCTTGGGCACGCAAACATTTTTGCCGCAGACATTGGACATTCCAACAGGACTCAGCACCATCGCACTCAGCATGCGCCACCCAAGAATGGTTGCAAAATGAGGTTCCTCGCTTCAAATATTGAAAAAATGGGCTCGGGGTAAAGCCATTGAAATTCCGAAAAGTGGAACAGCAACATTAACAGAAATGGTTCGAAAAGTAAAGAAGCGACTTGATCGAAACCCGTGTCGCGGTGGCCGAAAAATGACTCGTGAGCTGAGCATATCGCAATATTACTTTGATATTCCAAAAAGTGCAAGAACTTACACCGCAACAGAAAGAAAATGGACTCAAAAGAGTTAAAGAGTTGCTTCGCTTGGCCGAAAGTGGTGAACTGCCGAATTTGGTTTTCTCCGATGAGAAAACATTTGTTGTCCAGCAGTTTGTAAACAAACGAAATGATCGTGTTTACTTGGTCAGCCGAAAATGTGCACCTTCGGTTGGCCACCAGGACTCAAGCGCCGGCCATGGTGATGGTGTGGACCGCCATAACATCCGATGGTTGCTCTCCGCTCGTATTAAACGACCGTGACATCAGAATAAATGCCGAATATCATGGCGAAAATATTCTGGAGGGTGTATTAAAACCTTGGGCACGCAAATATTTTGGCCGCAGACCTTGGACATTCCAACAGGACTCAGCACCAACGCACTCAGCACGCACCACCCAAGAATGGTTGCAAAACGAGGTTCCTCGCTTCATTTCCAGTGCACAATGACCACCCAAAATCTCCGGATACCAATCCGTTGGACTATTGGGTCTGGAGTATTTTGGAAAGCAAGGTTGGCACTAAAAAATACCAAAGTGTCGATCACCTCCAGCAAGCGCTTCGTCGGGAATGAGCCAAAATAACGCAGAGCAACATTCGGGCAGCGTGTGACGGTTTCATTGGCCGTTTGAAGGCCATAACTCGTGTCAAAGGTGACCAATTCTATTCTATGCTATTTCCGACATTTTTTGCTTTCATTCAATAAATTTTTTTTTAAAAAATGTAAAAGTTTTAGCGTTTGACTTTGTCGAAGTTTTTTTATCTCTCCTTGTATACGCAATGGAATTGAAAGTTTACATACCCTGGATTTGCTATGTGTTTATGGCGTTTTAGTTGCAAAATTTTGAGGTTAGGTCGTTTTTGCTCCAAAATATCGGGATTCTTGTTTTTTTAATAATACAAATACATATTTATAAGAAAATAAAAAACCTTGGTTTCTTTGAATTGAACAATGAATTTTGCACATTAAAAAAGTTGTTTTTTTTTTCAACCAAAAAAAAAGGAAAATATTTTCATAAAATGCAAAACATAATTTAAAATTAGAAATTGTTGTTAATTTTATGTTAAAAAATTTTTTTGAATGTCATTTTAGTGTTTTTGGTGTATCTGTTAGTAATATTAGTTAATTTTTGTGTTTGTTTGTCTTACATACCTTGCTATTGTAGGTGTAGTAGTTAAAGGTTTTCAAATATGTACCCAACGACAGTATATTACATTGGGGACACAGATCTGCTGTCCGCCGCTGCATCATTTCCAGCAGATATAGAAAATCCTCGGCCACATAGTGATCCTCCTCCAGGAATAGCACCAGTCCTTATAAAAAAATAATACGATAGGAAAAATAAAACAAGATAACACAAGATATTCAATTTCAAGAGCCTATATAACGTTGTGTGATATATTATTTTAAATTAACTGTGATTTTAATTATATTTTTTTTATATTAACTACAGGGTTGCCCATATTCGACGGACCTTTGGGCCCTTTGGGCCCTTTGGGCCCATTCCAATTGACGAGGCTTGTCCGCAGGCAATATTCTTTGCGTCAATTGAATTTTGTACGGGAACAAATGCAAATCAATGCGAATAATCCGTTGTAAAGTGGACCGAGCCATGCCCAACACTGGCTCGTACGGCAGCGATATTCTCGGCCGATCGCCTTGGTCGACTTTTATATGGCCTCTTCGGATTAGAAAGAGTCTTACCAGTCGAAAATTTTTCGTATAAACGCTTAATGGTGTTCTTAGAAGGCGCACTTCTCACATTTTTTAATGTTTTAAAAGCACGTTGAGTTTTCACAATTGACTTCTTCTGTTGAATGGAAATTTCAACTATTTCGCGTGGCGTGACGCTTCAAACGCGGTATGTCATTAAGCGATGTGACATCTCTGTCAAAAGTTATGGCGTTGCCAGATGGGTCCGTCGAATATGGGCAACCCTGTATACGCTGTGAAGTCTTTTTATTATTAAAAAAAAAAATTAAAATGTGTCAGTCGGGTTTGCCGACAAATGTATACCCTAAGGCAATGTTCGATTATTTAAATTTTTGGCTCTCTATAGATTAGGATCCGAAGGAATGGGCCAATATTGTCCATTTCGTATCGGCCCTTAATAAATATGATATAAAGATTGCGAAGTGCCTGGTTTGGACTATACTGGTTATTTCCTTCAATTTATAAGCGATTTTGGATAATTTTTAGAAAATGTTAAAATGTGCGTGAGTTACCAGATATAGTCGACCGAAGTATTCCATTTTTATAACCTCCACCATAGTTTGGAGGGTATATTAAGTCTCTCATTTCGTTTGCAACACCTTGAAATATACATTTTAGACCCCACAAAGTATATTTATTTTTGATCAGCATAAAATTCTATGTCGATTTAGCGATGTCCGTCCGTCTGTCCGTCTGTGGAAATCATATTCTAGCTTCCGAACGAATTGAAGTAGATGGATAAAATTTTACTCGAATATATATTATATCCGCAGGACTTTTGGTATTGAGAATGGGTCATGTAGGTCCACGTTTTGGTATAGACCCAAATAACGGTACCGCCCAATCTTCGGTACTTTGTTGATTTCAGCGAAATTATTCACCGGAATTATTTCAAATTTGGTATTTGATGTTCTTAATGGATACTACAGCCTATGACAGGAGATTGTCTGTGCAGGTCCACGTCTTCGTATAGCCCCCATATAACGGTACCTCCCTATGTTCGGTATTTTGATGATTTTAGCTACATTATTCACCGATTTTTTTTTGTGTTAAGTTTCGCATTTGAAAATTGTAATGACTTATGACAAATCTTTTCTATGCAGGTCCATGCCGTCATACAGATGTTAATAAAACAGCTTCATTCGGTATTTTTAAGATTAACACGGATTTTGTTTTTCAAATCTTGAACCCTATGTAGGGGAGGTACCACAAGGAATGGTCCGTTCTCTATCATTTTTATATCAGATCTTGTGTTGATAGAAATTTTGAGATGTACCAAGTCTGAATGGAATTAGATGCTTATTCCACTTTCTTTGAGCGTTTTGTTTTTCAAAATGTTGAACCTTTGTGGGGGAGGTACCGGAAGGAATGGCTCGATCTCTACCATCTTTATAACAGATCTTGTGTTGATGGAAATATTGAGATGTACCAAGTTTGAATGGAATCGGATGTTAATTTCGCATTCATGAGCTTCGTGGACGTTCACAATTTTGATCCTTCGTGGGGGAGGTACCAGAAGGAGTACACCAATATATCCCATTTTCACAGCAGATCTGGTGTAAGTAGAAATAATGGGATATGTGAAATATGAAGAGAACCGGATGCTTATTTCGGATTTTATATTCATTTTGGTTATTCAATACTTTGGCCCGTTGTGGGGGTGGTATCAAATGGAATGGTCCGATCTCTACCATCTTTATAACACATCTTATGTTCATAGAAATATTGAGGAATCGCTTTTTAATTTCGCATTTTATGAGGTTATTCAAAATGTTGACCCTTTGTCGGGGAGGTACCAGAAGGAGTGCACCAATATATCCCATGTTCACAGCAGATGTGGTAGATAAAATGGGATGTGTGAAATATGCAGAGCACCGGAAGCTTATTTCGGATTTTATAATAGTTTTGGTTATTCAAAACTTTGACTCTGTGTGGGGGAGGTACCGGAAGGAATGGCTCGATCTCTACCATCTTTATAACAGATCTTGTGTTGATGGAAATATTTCGATATGCGAAGTCTGAATGGAATCGAATGCTAATTTCGCGTTTTATTCGTTTTGTGAATATTCAAACTTTTGACCCTTTGTGGGGAGGTACCCGAAGGAGTGTACGGATATATCGCATCTTCACAGCAGATTTTATGATAGTAGAAAGAAAGGGATGTGTGAAATATGCAGAGAACCGAATGCTTATTTTGGATTTTATAATAGTTTTGGTTATTCTAAACTTTGACTCTTTGTGAGGGAGGTACCAGAAGGAATGCTCCGATTTCTACCATCTTTATAACACATCTTGTTTTGATGGAAATATTGCGATGTGCGAAGTCTGAACGGAATCGGATGTTAATTTCGTGTTTTTTGATCTTCATGGATATTCAAAATTTTGACCTTTTGTTGTAGGTATCAGAAGGAGTGGACCGATATATTCCATCTTCACATCTGACCTTGGGTTAATACAAATATTGTGATGTGTGTAATTTGAAGACAACTGGACTTATATATTTATTTATAAGAGTTATAATGGTTCAAAATGTTGATCCTTTGTGGGGGAGGTACTTGATGGAGTGGGCTGATATTGTCCATTCTCGCACCTGACCTAGCACTGATGCAAATATAATGATTCGCAAAGTTGGAGCAAAATCGGATTATCCTTTCTCTTTCTGTGCCGTAAATTATGTTCTATGAAAATATTGACATTTTGTGTTGACCCATTGTGAGGGAGGACCGAAATTGCCCATCTCCGGTTTTGACCTAAATTTGATAATAATATTACGATGTACCTAGTTTGGATCAAATCGGCTACTCCCTTCGAGAGTCATCATGCGCACCAGCCAGACAGGCAGAGGGACGGACGGACATCGCTAGATCGACTCTAAATGTTCTGTAACGGATTTGGTCCAAGGCACGTTTTGGTTATAAGGCACGATTTGGCCGTATCAAATGATGTATACCCTCCGTTGCCATATGGCTGAGGGTATAATAAGAGTTAGAGTCAAAATCCTCGGAGTTAAGTAAGAGTTTACTTTAAGTACAAATACTTGGTGCATACTTTTGGTACGGTTGAGAAGTTGAGAAAATCTGACAATTATAAATGAATATTCTAAAATTATTATATTATTTCCCAACCGCCATATGTGTGTAAGAAGCATGTGAGAACATCCATGAAAGGTTCTCTATTTCATGTAAGAATACTCGTATTGTATGACTGCGATTTGGTTAAGTAAAGATTATTTTAAGTAGTTCTTGAGTAAAACTATTGGAATAAATATAATTTGATCGATTTAGAGCGGATTTTTCTTCCACTCGGAAAAGAGCAAGGCATACTAGCTTTAATTCGAGCGACATAGGGAAATTGAGTATAATTTATTAATTTTTTCTACTCGTAGGTGTGCTCCCATTCGAATTCGAGTAGCATGGAGAAATTGAGTAGACTCGATGTACTTGTTTCTACTTGCAGGAGTACCTCCCTCTCGAATTCAAGCGAGTTGCACTTTCTAGAGCCCCAAGGATAACAAATTGAAGTTTGCTGTAGCATTCTATTCCCTAGTGACCTATGGATCTGAAAATATATTGAATATTCACCTGTATGATATTTTGTAACTTCCAGCTGATCGAATACCCGATTCGCCTTCCACCACCAATGATGTTTGGTCTGGGTAAATTTGGCCTCTCTATAGTGGCCATATAAGTCTGGATACAAGGCGTTGTTGCATTTCCGAATGATTGCTCTGTAAGCAAATAGAATTATAGAAAAACATGTCATAAAAACAATAATAATGGGTTTAAGCCTGACTATTTTGCAACAACGAAAAAAATATATAATTAATTATAAATGAATTAAGAATCTGAAAATCATAAACAAACAACTTAAAACTTACTGATCTTTTTTAATATCACGCGGACAATCATCCGGATCAACGCCAGGAAATTCATTTGGATGTGTTTGTATTGAATATGGATAAAATATCTGAAAATATTAGAAAATAAATTATAAATTTCGTAGTCGGAATTTTTAAAATGCCTGCAATTTGACTCACTTGCATAACTTTGCAAAAGTCTATACTCTGGACTAAATCGTTAATATCTTCATCATAAAAATCATGTGAAAATATTAATAGAACTCTAGAAATATCACGAGCCTGTGCCAGGCTCACGATCAAATGGCGTAGGTATATAATACGAGTATGAACCTGAAAGAGGGAGAGGGAGAGAGAAAACATCGTTAATTAAATTTAAGAAAAATATAATTTTTTTAAAGAAGAAGTTTAATTTTGTAATTAGAACAGGCAAAGATACCCAACAACCGTAATAAATATAGGTTTATATTGGAGATTTATGTGAAGTATGATATCCTATAATCGTTATATAATACGTGTTACGGCATCTGACTGGTAGAACTTTAAAATCGAGTGGAACTAATATATGGGAACCATATCTTGACCTTAAACGAGTTCCATAAAATTTGCCATATGTAATTTTCACTATATAGGCTGAGATGAAAAACCTGCAACTAACTTCAGTCTGCTGTCATTTCTAAGCCACTCCGACAGCTGTTAAAATTATTCCAGTGACAGCTCATTATATTGTTTACAAGCGTAGAAAGGCATTTCAGCGAGAATTTTCAAGAAAAAAAAGTTATTTGTGAAGGAATTCAAGCGTGATAGTGTGATTTCTTTATATTTGGCTGGAAAACCACAAGTGGCTATCGTTAGAGCATTCCACCATTTAAATGTGAAAAAATGTTTTGTATCTCGTACCATCGCTTATTACCGCGATACTGGAACTGATACTGGTAACGTAGCCCGACGTCAAGGAAGTGGAAGGAAGAAAACAGCAACAAAAGCAGAAATGGTTCGAAAAGTAAAGAAGCGACTTTATCGAAACCCGCGTCGCAGTGGCCGAATAATGCCTCGTAAGCTGAACATATCGCAATATGCCATTCGCCAAATATTCAGAAATAAACTCGGGGTAAAGCTATTGCAATTCCAAAAAGTGCAAGAACTTACACCGCAACAGAAAGAAAACAGACTAAACAGTTGTTTCGCTTGGCCCAAAGTGGTGAACTGCCGAATTTTCTTCTCTCCAATGAGAAAATATTCGTTGTTCAGAAGTTTGTAAATAAACAAAAAGATTGTGTTTACTTGCCATGGAGGTCTGCTGAAAATGGGCAACTTCGGTTGGCCACCAGATCTCAAGCACCGGCCATGGTGATTGTGTGGGCCGCTATAACAGCCGATGGTCGCTCTCCGCTCGTATTAATCGACCGTTGCATCAGAATAAATCCCGAATATTATCGCGAAAATATTCTGCAGGGTGTATTAAATCCTTGGTCATGCAAAGATTTTTGCCGCAGACCTTGGACATTCCAACAGGACTCAGCACTATCGCATTCAGTAGACGCCACCTAAGAATGGTTACAAAATGAGGTTTCTCGCTTCATTTCCAGCGCCCCCAAAATCTCCGGATACCAATCCGTTGGACTATTGTGTCTGGAGTATTTTGGAAAGCAAGGTTGGTACTAAAAAAATACCTAAGTGTCGATCACATCAAGCAAGCGTTTCGCCGGGAATGGGCCAAAATACCGCAGAGCAACATTCGGACAGCGTGTGACGGTTTCATTGTTTTTTTACAGTTTTTTATTCCTCCACCATTCTATGGGGGTATATTAACTTTGTCATTCCGTTTGTAACTTCTCGAAATATTTATAATAGACCCTACAAGGTATATATATATTCTGGATCAGCGTAAAATTCTAAGACGATCTAGCGATGTCTGTGTGTCTGTCCGTCTGTTGTAATCACGCTATCTTCTGAACGAATTGAGATAGAAGACTAAAATTTTGCATACGTGCATAGTTTATCAGTAGGCAGGTTAGGCTCGTAAATGGGCTATGTCGGTCCACGTTTTCGTATAGCCCCCATATAACGGTACCATCTGATATTCCGTTTTTCATGATTTTAGCGACGTTTTCTACCGGAATTATTTAAAATCTTGTATTTGAAGTTCGTAACGGGTTCTACAGCCTATGACAAAAATTTTTGTGTGCAGGTCTAAGTCTACGTATATCCACCAAATAACGATACCTCTCGATATTCCGTATTTTGATGATTTCAGCAATATTATTCACCGGCATCGTTTCATCTTTCGTACTGGAAGATACCAATGGGTACTGCAGCCTATGGCAAAAAAATTTTGTATGCAGGTTCAAATCTTCGTATAGCCCCCATATAAAGGTACCTCCCGATATTCGGTTTTTCATGATTTTAGCGTCATTATTTGCCGGAATTATTTCGAATTTCATATTTGAAGTTCTACAGCCTATGACAACAATTTTTATATGCAGGTTCACATCTTCGTATAGCCTCCGTATGACGGTACATCCCGATACTCCGTATTTTCATTATTTTTGCGACATTATGCACCTTAATTGTAAGAAATTTCGTATTTGAAGTTTGTAATGAACACTACAGCCTATGACAAGAAGTCGGTTTTTATTTAAGTAGTAGTTTTCGGTTTTTTTTTTTTTTTTGAAAAATTTCAATTTTCTTCGAAATTGTGGAGGGTATTAAAATGTTCGTCCCGGCAGAACTTACTATTTTTGTATTTGTTTAAATAGACGATTCAAGTTTTTTAGAAATCCCAGACAGTCCTTCAAATAAATATTGTTGATATTAAGGATTTTAGACTCCATAGTCCTTAAAAAGTATTCTAGCAAAAATCCACGATAGTAGCTGTGATAATTCCTTAAAAACTATACCTAAAAATTCACGATTGCATCTCTGATCATCCTTCAAGTAATTATCCTAAAAAATCGAAATTGTCACAAATTCAAACTCCTCAAAAGGTCCTTCCTTCAAAATTCACTATGTTTTTTGTGTTACCCTTTAAAAATATATTCTCAGAAAAATGATTTTTAATATCCACCTGTTTTGAATTAATTATTCACTATTGGCCCCAATAATCATTTAAAACTAATTTAAGAAAAATTGAAATGAAAATGAGAATTATCACACACTTAAACACTTACTTGTATTACAATTATCACAGAATCATTTTGTAACGGACCAAAGGTGTATTCATTTAAAACTAATTGCATGTCATTGTATTTGGCAATTTGTCGTTTAATTTCACTGATATTTGGTGGATGATATAAATCGACAAAACTAACCAAGCCACCACCGCCACCAACACCACCGACACCTCCACCGGCCAACATACCGTTAATTAGTGTACCATTTTGGTGTACTGCGAGAAGGAAGAGAGAAAGAGAGAGAGAGGTGAAAAAGAGAGACAAAGGATAAACATATTTGAAAATGGTAATTCTTCTCCTTTCCTTCTTTTCCGATACTTACAACTGGCTGCTAAGGTCTGATTACGTGTCTTGGGCTGCAGGAATTTGTGTAGCACAGATGGCACCATCGACAGTATGGCATCAACCGAGTCATTGGTCGGCTCTGTTAGCAGGGGATCACGGGATTCAGCTGTAATTTAGTTTCATAAAAAACCATTTCTAAAATATCAATTCCGCATTTTCTGCTACTCACGAAAATTAAAAGCATGCAGCTGCAGGAATAGAAATATTACAAGGGTTATCACAATTATGCCACGCAAATAATAAGTGTTCCGCTTGCGATGCAATGTCCCCGTATTGGGTAGGGCCAATGGTATGCGACGACCTAGAAAAAAAAAAAAACCAAAAGAATTTAAATTGGGAGGAGGGTGTCGTCTTGAGCCAACATACCTCTCATGATGTTCGAGACGGTACTGTCTTTTGTGTGTGTGTGGGGTTTTAGGTGTTGCTTTGCGTAGAGAACTTCTAAATTGCCTTTAACATCATTGTATCTGTAAAGATATGACATGATAAGATGTAATATTAGTTGTGATAAGGTGCAACAATGTATTGATTAACAAATCTAAGAAACGTCAAAATATCTATCCTCTAATATTTGTTAATGTATTTTTTAATAGACGACAATTCCATTTATTTTCAATTCGAAAAGACCCACCTCTGGCACAAGAAAAATACTATCAAAAAGAAGTTAAAATATGTCAGTCGGTTTTGTCGATATACCCTCAGCCAATGTTCCATTATTAAGGTATATTTTGACTTCTGTTGTGATTATTTAAATTGTCGAACCTCTATGGAGTAGGTTCCGAAGGAAATGGCCAATATTGTTCATTTCGTATTGGACCTAAATAAATATGATAAGAAGTAAAAAAGCAGCTAAGTTCGGCCTGCCAGAACTTTTAATACCCTTCACCATTTCGAAAAATTTCAAAAAAAAAAACCGAAAACTACAACTTAAATGAAAACCGTTATATGGGGCTATATGAAGACGTAGACCAGTATACAAAATTTTTGGTTATAGGCTGTAGTACCCATTACGAACTTCAAATACGAAATTTGAAATAATTCCGGTAAATAATGTCGCTAAAATCATGAAAATACCGCATATCGGGAGGTACCGCTATATGGGGGCTATAGGAAGATTTGGACCTGCATACAACATTTTTTGACATAGGTTGTAGTACCCATTAGGATCTTGCAGTATGAAAAATACTATCAAAAAGAAGTTAAAATATATCAGTCGGTTTTGTCGACAGATGTATACCCTCAGCCAATGTTCGATTATTTAAGTATATTTTGACTTCTGTTGTGATTATTCAAATTGTCGAACCTCTATGGAGTAGGTTCCGAAGGAAATGGCCAATATTGTCCATTTCGTATTGGACCTAAATAAATATGATAAGAACTAAAAAAGCAGCTAAGTTCGGCCTGCCAGAACTTTTAATACCCTTCACCATTTCGAAAAATTTCAAAAAAAAAAACCGAAAACTACAACTTAAATGAAAACCGTTATATGGGGCTATATGAAGACGTAGACCAGTATACAAAATTTTTGGTTATAGGCTGTAGTACCCATTACGAACTTCAAATACGAAATTTGAAATAATTCCGGTAAATAATGTCGCTAAAATCATGAAAATACCGCATATCGGGAGGTACCGCTATATGGGGGCTATAGGAAGATTTGGACCTGCATACAACATTTTTTGACATAGGTTGTAGTACCCATTAGGATCTTGCAGTATGAAATTTGAAACGATTCCGGTGAATAATATTACTGAAATCATCAAAATACCGAATATCTGGAGGTACCGTTATATGGGGGCTATGCGAAGACGTAAAACTGCATACAAAATTTTTGGTACCCATTACGAACTTTAAGTACGAATTTTGAAACGATTCCGGTAATAATGTCGCTAAAATCATCAAAATACCGAATATCGGGAGGTACCGTTATATGGAGGCTATACGAAGATCTGGACAACATTTTTTGCCATAGGTTGTAGTACCCATTAGGATCTTCCAGTAGGAAATTTGAAACGATTCAAATATCGGGAGGCATCGTTATATGGGGGCTATACGAAGACTTGGATCTGCACACAAAATTTTTTTCTCATAGACTGTAGTACCCATGACGAACTTCAAACACGACACTTTAAATAATTCCGGTAAATAATGTCTCTAAAATCATAAAAATACCGAATATCGGGAGGTACCGTTATATGGGGGGCTATACGAAAACGTGGACCGACATGGCCCATTTACGAACTTAACCTGCCTACTGGTAAACTGTGCATGTATGCAAATTTTTAGCCTTCTCTCTTAATTCGTTCGAATGATAGCGTGATTACAACAGACAGAAGGACAGACAAAATTTAGAATTAGAATTTTACGCTGATCCAGAATAAATATATTTTGTAGGGTCCGACATGAGTATTTCGAGGAGGAATAATAGATGGTATAAAAATATTTCGACTTGCCAGATTTCGACTTTATTTTGTTACATCCTTAACTTTATATGAGATATGTGATAATTTTTAGAAAATTTTAAAATGCGCATTAGCTTTCAGATATACTCGACCGAAGTATTCCATTTTCATACTTCCTCACATCATACAGATCAAAATATTGGTATGGACAAAAATACAAGGGTGAGATGAAAAAACTGCAAACAACTTCAGACTGCTGTCATTTCTAAGCCACTTGTCTGACAGCTGTTAAAATTATTCCAGTGGCAGCTCATTATATTGTTTAGAAGCGTACAAAAGCATTTTGGTGAGAATTTATCAGAAAAAAAATTATTCGTGATGGAATTCAAGCGTGATAGTGTGATTTCTTTATATTTGTCTGGAAAGCCACAAGTGGCTATCGTTAGAGCACTCCAGCATTTCAATGTGAATAAATCTTTTGTGTCTCGTATCATCGCTCGTTACCGTGATACGGGTAGCGTAGCCCATCGTCAAGGAAGTGGACGAAAGAAAACAGCAACATCAGCAGAAATGGTTCGAAAAGTAAAGATGCGACTTGATTGAAACCTACGTCACTTTGGCCGAAAAATGGCTCGTGAGCTGCACATATCGCAATATGTGATTTGGCAAATATTGAGAAATGAGCTCGGGGTAAAGCCATTGAAATTCAAAAAAGTGCATGAACTTACACAGCAACAGAAAGAAAATGGACGCAAAAGAGCTAAAGAGTTGCTTCGGTTGCTTGGCCGAGAGTGGGGAACTGACGAATTTGGTTTTCTCCGATGCTAAAACATTCGTTGTCCAGCAGTTTGTAAACAATCAAAATGATTGTGCTTATTTGGCAAAGAGGTCAGGCGAAAATGTGCACCTTCGGTTGGCCGCCAGAAATCAAGCGCCGGCCATGGTGATGGTGTAGCCCGCCATAACAGCCGATGGTCGCTCTCCGCTCGTATTAATCGACCGTGGCATCAGAATAAATGCCGAATATTATTGCGAAAATAACAGCCGATGGTCGCTCTCCGCACGTATTAATCGACAGTGGCATCAGAATAAATATGCCGAATATTATCGCAAGAAGGTGTATTAAAGCCTTAGGCACGCAAACGTGTTGGCCACAGAACTTGAAAATTCCAACAGGACTCAGCCATCCATCGTACTCAGCACGCGCCACCCAAGAATGGTTAAAAAATAAGGTTCCTCGCTTTATTTCCCGCGCACAATGGCCACCAAAATATCCGGATACCAATCCGTTGGACTATTGTGTCTGGAGGATTTTGGAAAGCAAGGTTGGCTCTAAAAAATACCAAAGTGTCGATCAACTCAGGCAAGCGCTTCGCCGAGAATGGGCCAAAATACCGCAGAACAAAAATCGGGCAGCGTGTGATGGTTTCGAAGGCCATAACTCGTGCCAAAGGTGACAAGTTCGAACAAATGTACGCTTATTCAAAAATTTGATGCTATTTCCGGCATTTTTTGCTTTCATTCAATAAAATTTAAAAAAAATGTACAGTTTTTTTTTATCTCATCCTGTATATTTACTTATTTATACCCACAACCATGTAGCAAGGTAGGGAATATATCATGCTGTCCCTCATGAAAATAACGACGTCATTTATCTTTGGAACCAATCCTTTTCAGGAAATTTGGAGTCGAGTCCATCTGCTTGTAGAGTGCGCACTGCAATTCTGAAAAGGCTGCGTCCGAATTGGTGTAATCTTGTCATATTTTAATATTTCTATCCAACTTGGATCGAGTCCGAAGGTGGAAAGAGACCCCTTCCCCACCACAAATAGAAGGCAAAAAGCATCCAATTTGGTTGAACCTTTGACCATCGAGAATATGAGTAAAATAGAATCACCTTTGTGGTACATTACCCACAAAAGGTTAACATTTTTAGAACAATGATAACTATTAGAAATGTCCTTAATTTTCGATAGCGCTGTGCAACACAAAAAAATTACAGAGAAAATCAAGCAGATTAGGAAAGTACGGTCAGGAATAGAAGGCGCATGTAAGAGCGCAAAATTACCGAAATAGAGGGTGAAAGTTCCCACTCTTCCACATTTTTTGAAATATTTGGATTGAGATTTCTTGGAATCCGTTGACTTGAGGTATAAAGTGTCTTCGGCAATATTGCAAAGAAACAAGTAAAAAAGTATTGATCGGTTTTGCTGATAGATGTATACCTCAGCCAATGTACGATTATTTTAAAATATTTTGACCCTCTATGGAGTGGGTTCCGAAGGAATAGGCCAATATTGTCCATTTCCTATCGAACCTAAATAAATATGATATAAATATTGTGACGTGCCAGGTTTGGACTACACAGACTACTTCCTTCACTTTATAAGAGACATGTGATAATAATGTTAACATGTGCGTGAGGTACCAGATATAGTCGACCGAATCAGATATAGTCGACCCATCTTCAGAGTAGATCTTAAGTTAGCAGAATTAATAGAATGTGTAAAATAGGAAGAGAACATACTGCTTATTTCGGATTTTATAATCGTTTTGGTTATTCAAAACTTTGACCCTTTGTGGGGGAGGTACCAGGAGGAGTGGTCCGATCTGTACCATCTTTATAACAGATTTTGGTTTGGTGTATAGATTTAGATGTGCCAAGTCCGATTGGAATCGGATGTTAGTTTCGCGTTTTATGAGCTTCGTGGATATTCAAAATGTTGGCCCTTTGTGGGGGAGGTGCCAGAAGGAGTGCGCCGATATATCCCATCTTCACAGCAGACCTGATGGTAGTAGAAATAATGGGATATGTGAAATATAAAAAAACTGATGCTTATTTCGAGTTTTATGACCTTAATGGATATTCAAAAATTTGACCCCTTGTAGAGGAGGTACCAGAAGGAATGGAGCAAAATTTTTTAAATTCGATTTCCAGAAGGAGTGGACCGATATTACCCATCTCCAAACTCGATCTAAGTTGGATAATAATATTACGATTTACCAAAGTTCGGACTAAAAAGTGTTATCGTACGCACCAAGCAGACAGACGGACGGTAGGAAGGGCGGACATCGCCAGATCAACTCTAAATGTCCTGAAATGGATTTGGTCCAAAGAGACCAAAGACATCAAAGAGACGTTCTGTCCGTTTCAAATGATATATACCCTCTGAGGGTATAAAAAAATTAAAAGACCTCTTGCGGAAAATCGTGATATTTTAAAGAATATATTTTGCTTGGTCTGCCAAAACAAAGATCGAAATCGACAATTTTGTCTTTCTGAACAAAAACAGAAGAAGCTTTTAAAGCATGTCTTCATGGACCACCTAATCAAAAATACTGGGTATGTTAGAATATCTTTAAGATTTTTTTGTAAAAATCTATTTTTTGTATAGTATCGTGCATTTTTATAAGAAATTTTAAAGAAAAATAACACCCTTTTAAAAATCGCTTCTTAACTAAAATTCGTAAATTTTCAAAGGAATTTTTTCAAAAATGTCCTTACCGAAAATCGTGGATTTGTTAAGAATATTTATAAGATTTTCAGGCAAAAAACTACTTTCTTTATTATACTCTAAGCCCAGCCTAACGAAAAATATCATACATTTTAAGACAATTTTTAAGGGTCTTTTTCATTCATTAAGGGTTCATTTTTCAAATATCTCCCGCAAAACATGGATTTTCAAAGAAAATTTTTTTTAAAGACTTTTTATGGAATATTTCTATTCTCATTTTTTTTAACGCTTTGGCGAAAATCGTGGAAGATATTGCTTATTTTTAAGGAGCTCTTTGGCGAAAATCGTGAATTTTTTAAGAAATTATATTCAAGTGTCGCCTTAAGGAAAATGGTGGATTTTGAAGGAATATTTTCAAGTTTTTTGAGGATTTTTCCAAGAAATTAATATTTATTGCACATAAATACCGCTTTTCCAAAATATTTTTAAGGACATCATTCCATATCGTGTATTTTGTAATAATATTTTTAAGGACTTCCTGATTTACTTGGTTTGACTTTTGACCAATATTAAGACTTTTTTAAAGATAGTGGATTTTTTGAAAATTTTTACCGACCTTTGAGAATAATAAAAACTAAACATTTTGAGCGCATATGATTGTTATAAATGATCGACGACTTACCTCTGGACAGAAATTGAGAATGTTTCCAAGGAATTTGGGAAAAAACTTCTTTGCAAATAATCATCGATTTTCAGAATGTTTTCAGGGATTTCATGCCATCATATCGAACATAAAGAATTTTAAGGACTTCCTGACTTATTTTATTTAGGAACTTTATTGACCAATGCTTCGTCTAGAATTTATAAATTTACAATTTATGTTAAACGGTTAATTTCATATCAAAAGACATATGTTCGTATGTGCAATCACATTCAGAAATAACATACAACTTGGTTGCGACACAACCACACCATTATCCCACATTTGTACAACATTCAAGGCAACTGACATTTCTTGTACGGTCGGTGTGACGGACGGACGGACTGGTTGATAACAAATCTATCAAAATTTGTGTCAGACTATCTATGACAATGACATTCGTTCGTTTGTTCTCTCGTTTATTTTCTGCTTTGGTTTTGATTGTTTCCACGATTGTGTTCGGAGAACTTTCTATGGCATTGTTGCGTGGTTGATGACACTGACATTGTTGGCTGCTGGTTTGGGGTAGTGATGGAGGCTGCTGCCGGTGGTAAAGACTTAACCGCCAACGAACCAAACCATCCAACCAACCAACCAAACAATAACCATTTTCAAACTTTTATTAAATGTGTCATTTTCATAACAACAATTTATGTTTTGAATTGTGTAAAACACATACAAACACACACAAGCAAACACATGTCCTTATGAACACATACACATGTCCTTATCAGCATACATACATATGTATATCCTTATGCTATGCACACAATCAGTAATTGAAAAACGGAGACAGAGAGAGATAAATGTATGTGTGTGTGTGCACTTGACAGCCCAGTAAACAATTTTTGCCGAATTCGGTCCGATTTCTGTCAGAATCTCTGAAAAAATGTCCGATTCTGATTCCGAATTCCTTCCGATTTCGGTACGAAAGTTGTATGGACGTGGTCACCGAATTCGGAAAGATTTTCTGAAAAAAATCTGAAAAAATATTAGATTTTCTGGACGAATTCGGTCCGAATTCGGTGAAAATTCTTGAAAAAATAGGAAAAAAAATTAGATTTTCGGAAAAGATTCGGAGGACAACTCCGAATTTCTGAAAGAAATCGGGCAGAATTCGTCTGGAAATTCGGCGGAATATTCAGATTTTCTGAAAGAAATCGGTCAGAATTCGAAAGAAAATTCGGAATAAAATTCAGATTTTCTGAAAAAAAAAACCCTCAGAATTCGGGAGAAAGTTCCGATTTTCTGAAAGAAATCGTTCAGAATTCGGAAGAAATATCGAAAAAATCGTCACACCACTTAAAAATGAAAAAAAAAAAAAACACATATTTATTTAAAAAACAAACAATTTATTTCGGGTTTCGTAAAAATGTAGTTTAAATATTACATCTATAATACATTTACATTATAAATATTATTGTTATTAGGAACATAACATACAGTAGCACGTTTCTGTTTCAACTGCTAAACAAGAACTAAAAATAAAAGCAGTGCACACAGAAAACCGGTATGTAGTTGTTTTTGCAATTTTTTTCCATCATATTTTTTTGGGAACGAAAGAGAAAGAGGCTGATTCACAACAACAACAAAACGCACATTTTTACAACGGAAAATCTAACAGTTCACAATAAAAATAACAAATAGCATTTTTGCTTTGCGCTTTGTTGTTGTTGAGATCTTGAAATGAATGATCACAACAACATATACTATGGGAGAGAATGTGTCAAACCACCACCATCCGTTTACATGTGGGAGAGAATATGCCAGAGCAATAGACAATCTACTCTCTCCGTTTGTACATTTTTCGAGTTTTTTTCGCTTAAAAACACAGGAAAATGTGCAGAAATTCTAAAAAAAAACGTTTAGAAAATCGGACCAATTTCTATCAGAAATTTCTGAAAAAAACGTCAGAAATTTCGGAAAAAAATCTAAAATCAGAGCAGTCGGAAAAAATTGTTTACTGGGAGTGCATCATCATAACATTATGAGAGATGTATTTGTGTGTGTGTGCGTAATTGACTAAGTAGTTATCATTGGTTGGAAATTCAAAGAATTTTATGTTATGACAATTTATTTTGTACTTTTGCATAAATCATGTGGAATCAATTATTTTTAATCAAAAACTTTTCACAGAATGTACATAGATGAAGAATAATGCGGAATATTATCTATATATAACACTGTTAAAGGAAACAAGTAAAAAAGCGGTAAGTTCGACCGTGTCGAACTCTGAATACCCTCCAACATTTGGAACCAATTTGGAAATTTTCACCGAAAAAGCAGTTATATTGGGGTCTATACGAAGACGTGGATCTGCATAGGCAACTTTTGTCATAAGCCATTACAATATTCAAATACGATATTTAAAAAAAAAAAAAAATCAGGTGAATATTGAAGTTAAAATCTATTAGGAACTTCAAATACGAAATTTCAAACAATTTCGGCAAATATTCTACCCAAAATCGTCAATGGCTTAACCCCGAGCTCTTTTTTTAATATTTGCCGAATCGCATATTGCGATATGTTCAGCTCACGAGCCATTTTTCGGCCACAGTGACGTGGGTTTCAATCAAGTCGCTTCTTTACTTTTCGAACCATTTCTGCTGATGTTGCTGTTTTCTTTCGTCCACTTCCTTGACGATGGGCTACGCTACCCGTATCACGGTAACGAGCGATAGTACGAGACACAAATGATTTATTCACATTTAGCATACTCGTCCAATTGTACCCTGTGAAAATATACTTAAAAGTTTCACCATTTATATAGATTAGTATTATTATTAGAAGTTCTTGAATTGATTAAAAAAAAAAACATGTTTTCATGTTTTAAAAATATATCCACTATTTTTCTTCAAAAATCCAGAAAAGTGGGTCTATTTTACTCATATTCACGATGTGTGAAGGTTTAACCTTCATATGTGTTGGAGCAATGTTGTAACATTTTCCAACGCCGGACTCGATCCAAGTTTGATAGAAATATTAAAAAATGGCAAGGTTACACCAATTCGGATGCTCCCTTTCAGAATGTCAGGGAACGGATTTGCACCTTTGCCGATCCAATTTTTCGTAATTTATTTTGTTATGAACGTATGAGTAATTTTATTGGAGAACGAAATCATACGTCATTGTCAAATTTACTGATAAGTTCAAATATTAATCTCTTGCTGTGTCACCTAAAGGTCCATCCCTTTATTGAGGTATTTTAAATGCTTCAAATTGTCTCATGCTTACATTTCTTCGTGTCCATGGTGAACTCTTCGAGTAGGCTTAGTTTTTTGTTCTAAAGTATAATTTAAATATAACGAGTAATGAAAGTCTTAAAGTCGGGCGGGGCCGTCTTTATGATACCCTACACCACTTTGCTAATTTAGTAGAGCTCCACTTAACAATTAAAAGTTTTTATTTGAGAATTAAATCATACACGCCATGATTATAATTATAATTTAAAGTTCAAAAGACTTAATATGCCGAAGCATTTGTATCTTTAAAATTCGGACATGTATTGCCCATATGATATATACGAGAGCTATATCCAAATCTGAACGATCTTGATAAAATTTTGCAAAGATATTTCTGAGCTGTATTTCATATATTTCCCTGAATATCGTTGTTACGGAGTGCATATTACGACTATGGGTAACAAATACAACATATCGGATGAACAATATATGTGGAAGCTATAGCTATATCTGAACCGATCTTCACCAAATTTGACATACCACCTTCTAGACTCAATTAAGTCGTAAGTGCCAAATTTCATACAATCTGGGCAAATATTAGACGTTTGGTGCACAATCAAAGGTAAATCGGACGAAGTTATATATGGGAGCTACATCCAAATCTGAACCGACCTCGATAAAATTTAGCAAAGGTATTTCTGAGCTGTATTTGATATATGTCCTTAAATATTGTTGTTACAGAGTGCATATTACGGCTGCGGAGGACAAATATAACAAATCGGATGACCAATATATATGGGAGCTATAGCTATATCTGAACCGATTTCGATCAAATTTGGCATACTTATTTTCAAGACTAATTTGGTTGTATGTGCAAAATTCCATACCATTCGGGCTGATATTACACGTTTGGTGCACAATAAAAGGCAAATCGGACGAAGATATATATGGGAGCTATATCTAAATTTTGACCGATTATCTCCAATTTCAATAGGGTTCGTCATTGGGCCAGACAAATGAACTGTGCAAAATAGGGTAGTAAATGCGAACTGTACTTTTTGCTAACCTACAAATAATTGCACCTCTCATAAATATTCGTGAGGGTTGGCATTTTCTAAGAATAAATACCAAAATATCCGTCATACATTGCTACGGTACACAGAACATTGCAGGGAAAGATGAATTAACATTTATAAATTCCAGTTAAATAAATAATATTGAAATATTGGCAAAGTTATGAGTGAAGAATTCGCAATGGAGTGGAAGACACGGACGCAGATGATGGAAGGGACAAACATTTTTGGGAGCCAAAAAAAAAATAAATATTTTCTATACAGTTTCAGAAAAAAGGAAGTAGATCCAAAACCACCCACCATTTTTTGGTGCCAAGAAAAAATAACCAAAAGTGCCATAAAGAATTCTAGCTACGCCCCTGACAAAATCATTAACATTGATGATTTGTAAATAACCAACATTTCACCTAACTTTCAATCATTCGCCTGCGAATACGAATGCCAAACATCCTTCCACTCCTCTAACCTCCAGTTATTTTAGTTGCCCCCATGACGATGAGTGCCCCAGTTTTTTTTTGTTTCTTTCAAGCTGAAGTAATAAATACAACTAATAAATATTTATTATTTGTTCCACTCAAATTATCCCCGGGGTGTATTTGGCCAGAATAATTAGCAAGAAGGTAAAGGATAATACCCTTTTTGTTTTAGTAATGGCAAATGGGGAGCGCCAAAGGTAAACATATTTATTTATTTGGTTTTCATCGCGCATCACATTCAAAATCCTTTTCGCAGAAATCGAAGGAGCAAAGGATTGCTAAACAAATTCGAATAATTTCTGGTGAAATGGAACAGAAGTATTTTTTGGGGTGAAATTTTAGCTTTGAATGAATTCACAATTGATTTTGGTCAGGCGAATAACAAGGAGGGATAAATATTTTCCAAGGACTGGAATTCAGCAT